TAATGTTAACAGTGACTGAGCTATGAGCATCATGTAAGCATCATTCCCAGACATCTAGAAATCTTACATCTATGGAATAATCAGACCCTGTGGTAGTGTCTTCTAATAAACATCCCTTAAAGGTTCAGGATTCAAAAGATTTACTACATAAACTGTTTCACTCTATAGAGTAGGTGCCCAAGCTAAAAATAAACTGCATATCCTAATAGCCAAGCAGAAGGCGTGTACTTGTCTAAGCGAGACATCTTATATGTAATTTGGCTTGTCAGATAATGTGAAGTAGGATGGAAGCTTCTTACTTTAAAATGTGCAGCTGGTGTAAGATGTCATATGGGTGCTTATTGTTTGGCTTGGGTGTGTTCCGTGTCTGATGTTCGACTTGTCTTCAGGAATCACTGGTAGCTTTCCCCCTACTTCTTTGTTCGTGGCAGAAAACACCTCCACAGCATAAGATGTTTAGGCTTTATGTGTCTCCATATGCTGGAAATCAACATATCTAGATGGAAAATTTTTTTTTCTGCTTAACAAAATGATAGCATATAAAGTTAAGTTTATTTAATTAGCTATCATGTTCCTCTGAGCACTTCAAGAGCTATTTATATGAACAAGAAGAGGAACATGTAGAACCTCTTAAGGTTCTACAGAACACTGGCTTGAGAAAGACTAAAGGTAAGGACTTCCCCTGTGGCTCAGACAGTAAAGTGTCTGCCTACAATGTGGGAGACCCAGGTTTGATCCTTGGGTCGGGAAGGTCCTCTGGAGCAGGAAATGGCAACCCACTCCAGTACTCTTGCCTGGAAAGTCCCATGGATGGAGGAGCATGGTAGGCTACAGTCCATGGGGTCGCAAAGAGTTGGACACGACTGAGCGACTTCACTTCACTTCACTTCAAAGGTCTTTCAGCCTCACAATACTCAGAGGACAGGCCAAACTGTGGTAGTCTGTGGTGAGTGTGGTAGTCACTAAATAAACAGCTCCCCTTAGCATTGTGAGATTGGCTAGAATTCTAGAGATCCACGAAAGCATTTCTTTCTTTGGCTGCATTGGGTCTTAGTTGTGGTAGGTAGAATCTTCGTTGCTGTGTACAGAATTCGCTAGTTGCGACACACAGGCATTTCTCTAGTTGTGACTCGCTGGCTCAGTTGTTGCTACATGGCATGTGGGATCTTAATTCCCAGACCTGGGATTGAACCCATACCCTCTCCATTGGAAGGCGGATTCTTAACCACTGGACCACCAGGAAAGTTCCCAGAAAGGCATTTCTTTACTTGCTTCTCCCTGACTTTCATTGGAATGTGACTATTTAAATGGTGCAGATTTATTATTGAAATTTTAGAAAATAGAAATCAAAAGAAGAAGATAGAAAAGCCTCCATACTACTGTTAACCAGAGGTAATCCCAAATAACAACTGTGGACTGTTCCCCTAGTACTGTCTCTGTGATCATGTGTATGTGTGCTTAAAAAAAGGGGAATGTTTAAAAATTTGATTGTTTTACACTAAATATATTAGGAACAAATGTCCTAGTCATTAACTGTTCATCTCTTTTAATTCAGTGTGCCCTCCGTATCTTCAGGTTCCACATCTGCTGATTCAACCAACCACAGGTTAAAAATTTGAAAAATCAAAAAACCAATTTCAGGAAGTTCTAAGAAGCTTTTGGCTGGCAGCTCTTCACATAGCATTTCAGTGAGATGTGGTTGCCTGTCAAGTGCCTGACATAGTAATTCCTCAGTAAATGGAAGCAACTGCAAGAATGCAATTGAAGTGATTGTCGTCTTTATTGTTGTTGTGGTTGTTTTGGACTCTGAGTTGTGTCCTATACTTTTGTAGGCCTGTGGACGATAGCCTGCCAGTCTCCCCTCTCCATGGGATTTCCCAGGCAAGAATAATAGAATATGTTGTCATTTCCTTCTCCCGGGGATTTTCCCAGTTCAGGGATCAAACCCACGTCCCCTGCATTGGCAGGCAGATTCTTTACCATTGAGCTGCCAGGGAAGCCCATTGTCTTTATTTTACCGAAAAGAGCAGTATTACAGATTTAGAAATTAGACAAGCACTTCATACTTACAGATGGGTATGAAGGTAGTGGAAAGAACACTAGACCAAAGATATTTTTTTAGTGAATTTGATTATATCCCTATTCCCATATGGCGCAGAGGTAGAGACCCTGTGTGCCAATGCAGGAGATGCAAGTTTGATTCCTGGGTTGGGAAGATCCCCTGTAGGAGGAAATGGCAACTCACTCCAGTATTCTTGCCTGGAAAATCCCATTGACAAAGAACACTGGCCGGCTACAGTCCATGGGATTACAAAGAGACACCACTTGGCGACTAAGCAGTTACAACACGCACTAGCTCTCTTCTGACAGGCTGTGGAACTTAGTCAGATCTTTTGGCCTCTCTAGGATTAAGTTTCTTCATCAGACAAATTAGGAGGTTTGATTTGACTTGATCCCAAAGCATCTAGCTCATAGACTGCCAGCTGTTTGCTTCCCATTGTGAGTTATAGCATCTGTAAGTTGCGTGTGTTTTGTTTGGTTGTTCTTTAGCTGGTCACAGAATAATATGGACAGTTGGTGTGGCCTCAGTTGCTTTCCTATTTTCATCATAAGTGACTCATGTTCAACAGGGATCATGTTAGTAAGTCTGAGCCAACTGTTATAAATAATTGTTTTTCAAGCTGTATATGATTAGTTTAATAATTATGAGCTACTGAAGTTTCAGTTGTCCGACTCATTGCGACCCCATGGACTGCAGCACACCAAGCCTCCCAGTCCATCACCAACTCCCAGAGTCCGCTCAAACTCATGTCCATTGAGACGGTGATGCCATCCAGCCATCTCATCCTCTGTCTTCCCCTTCTCCTCCCACCTTCAGTCTTTCCCAGCATCAGGGTCTTTTCAAGAGTCAGCTCTTCGTATCAGGTACACAAAGTATTGGAGTTTCAGGTTCAACATCAGTCCTTCCAGTGAATATTCATGACTGGTTTCCTTTAGGATGGACTGGTTGGATCTCTTTGTTGTCCAAGGGACTCTCAAGAGTCTTCTAAAGCATCACTTCTTCTGCGCTCGGCTTTCTTTATAGTCGAACTCTCACATCCATCCATGACTACTGGATAGCCTTGACTAGATGGACCTTTGTAGGGGAAGTAACGTCTCTGCTTTTTAATATGCTGTCTAGGTTGGTCATAACTTTGCTTCCAAGGAGTAAGCGTCTTTTAATTTCATGGCTGCAGTCACCGTCTGCAGTGATTTTGGAGCCCCAAAAAATAAAGTCTGACACTGTTTCCAATGTCTCCCCATCTATTTCCCATGAGGTGATGGGACCAGATGCCATGATCTTAGTTTTCTGAAGGTTGAGCTTTAAGCCAACTTTTTCACTCTCCTCTNACAGAAAACCACTTTCTTAATATTTGCTGAATTAAATGGCTGTGCTATTAAGCATCATGCAATGTACTTTACATGCTTTAGAGCGCAATTATTCCAGTGTAGAAAAACTCCAGTGTGCAAATTGTCAGCCTTCCATGGAGAGTCATTCCCATCACATAATGAAGCACAGTATCCATATTATATAAAAGATTTGAGTATAAACAGAGTTATTTCCACTTTATTTCTCCTATTCAGAAAGAAAAGGCATTATCACCAGATACTGTTTTCATAATTTTCAGAGAAAAGTTATTTAGTTGGTGTAATTGAACTAAAAAAACACAAAAAGTCGTCCTCTTCATCCTTGATTCATAACTACTTGACTGTATATGTGGACACACACACAGTTTTTAGCTTGGAGAGTTAAAGTTGCTATGGTTCCTTTAAGAAAATAAAGCAGTTTGTATTACAGAAAGACAGGGATGCACTTTTTCTCTTCTGCATTTAGGACTTACTGCAAACATTTAGGAAAATTTTGAAGGATATTTAAAACTACTATCTTCTCATTTTCTCTTTGGGTTGCAGCTTAGAATATATGAAAATCAGTTCCTGAAGGAACTTAGAACTTACTTAATTTTTATGCTAATTGCCCAAATTACCTTTTCTAAAATTGACTATTGTTCTAATAGCTCCCCCCCCCACCTTTTTGACTTTTCTAGAAGGATTTACCAGCTTATTTTTTATAAAGTTTTCCAAATTTGACTTTCCAATATGGTCCTTTACATAGCATGTACTAATTTACGTACAAGTGAAAATGTTTCTATTATTGGCCTATTTGAAAAGTAATTGTGTTGGATATCATATTTATAGTGAAGACACTGGTTAAATCCCAAAGAATAACCTAATTAATACAGAGTCTCGTGGAGTTATTGAAATAGAAATATAAATTAAAAAGTTATTATTAGATAATTACTCATTTTGTTTTCTTTTTTAAGCACATATATTTCAGAGAAGTTGCTTGCATTTAGACTGTTGAGTTTTAAATTGTTCTACCCCGCTAAGGAAAGTAGTTTGTGGTGTTACTTAGTGGAATAACAAAAAATGTGGCCTTTCCTGGTGGCTCAGACAGTAAAGAATCTGCCTGCAATGTGGGAGATCTGGGTTCAATCCCTGGGTTAGGAAGACCCCCTGGAGGAGGACATGACAAGCCACTCCAGTATTATTACTCTGTGCTTACCCCTTCTTCACAAATCACTGAATCTCCTGAATCTTCCTAAGGGAAGAAAATAATTTTCATGAAACCATAGCACCCCCTTGCAGCCTAATAATTTATGTTTTTAAAATTCAAAGGAACGTTTGTTTAGATCTATGAAAAGAATTGTTAATCTAATATAATCTGATGTCTCTTACATTCTTGTGACCAAGAAGAGATCTTTGAAAGATTCCACAGAAATTACGGGGATTGGAAGGAGGCAACATCCTTTTTGCAAATAATAGTTACATTACTTGTCTGTGGGATGCTGGGGTCTGGGTGCACATCTTGAACTGTGGCTGAATCTCTGAGCCATCTGTAGACACAATCAAGAGTAAACTTCTAGCCAGTCAGCTAAGCATGCTCACTTGTTGTGTTACAGGTACTTCTCCCAGCTGCTGGTCTTTTACAGTTACAGGATGTGAAGAAGACTTGCTGTGAATTTTTGGAATCTCAACTTCACCCTGTCAACTGCTTAGGAATCCGGGCTTTCGCTGATATGCATGCATGCACGGACCTCTTAAACAAGGCCAACACCTATGCAGGCAAGTGGAATAAATCTCAGCTGAATTTGATACAGGAAGAATCTGGAAATCTTGATTTCTATATGATTCTATAGTGATTTCTGGAAATTTGTTTCAGGTTTTTGGATCTGCACATTAAAAAAATACATTTAAAATCTTATACTGGTATTATAGCACTGCACAGTTGAAGTATACTCATAGAGTTCTGAATTTTAAAGAAAAACATAAACTGTATATGATATTAGGCCTAAATGACAGAGAAGATAATTTTATGCAAATATTGAACCTCTATGTTTTTCTTTCACCCTGTCAGATTAATAGGGATAAAAAAAGTGTTTACATATGAAATTAAGTCATTTAATCCCCATTTTATCCTTGCTTTTTGCAACGTTTTCTTGTATCTGAGAAAACAATTTGTGGCTTAAACATTTTCAAAGCAGTGAAATCTAGCTGAGTGTGAGCAGAGGAGTAATGTAGATCCCAACCAGAGGCAGCCCGCTGCTTCGATTAAACGCTGCTTTTCAGGACCTCTGGTGGCAATCTCTCCCTGTAGTGGGTAGAGGCCTGTGGCTGTCCAGTCACAGAGCAAGATGATTGTCACAGCTTTGGGTGTAGCGAAAGTACTGGAGATCAGTGGAGAAATAACTCCAGAAAGAAGGAAGGGATGGAGCCAAAGCAAATAGAATACCCAGTTGTGGATGTCACTGGTGATAGAAGCAAGGTCTGATGTGATAAAGAGCAATATTGCACAGGAACCTGGAATGTTAGGTCCATGAATCAAGGCAAATTGGAAGTGGTCAAACAGGAGATGGCAGGAGTGAATGTCAACATTCTAGGAATCAGTGAACTAAAATGGACTGGAATGAGTGAATGTAACTCAGATGACCATTATATCTACTACTTTGGGCAGGAACCCTTAGAAGAAATGGAGTAGCCATCATGGTCAACAAAAGAGTCCGAAATGCAGTACTTGGATGTAATCTCAAAAACGACAAAATGATCTCTGTTCGTTTCCAAGGCAAAACATTCAGTATCACAGTAATCCAAGCCTGTGCCCCAATCAGTGACGCTGAAGAAGCTGAAGTTGAACAGTTCTATGAAGACCTACAAGACCTTTTAGAACTATCTCCCAAAAAAGACATCCTTTTCATTATAGGGGACTGGAATGCAAAGGTAGGAAGTCAAGAAACACCTGGAGTAACAGGCAAATTTAACCTTGGAGTACAGAATGAAGCAGGGCAAAGGCTAATAGAGTTTTGCCAAGAGAATGCACTGGTCATAGCAAACACCCTCTTCCAACAACACAAGAGAAGACT